GCTTCTAGAATAAATCCTGGCCCCTTAATCTAGTATTCAGGAACTTCATAGTTTGAGTCCATGACTACAAGCTTCTTAATCTTTTTGTACCTCATCTGTAATAATAAAAATAATAATCCTATGTTGTATTATAAAACGAAACATTTGAAAAGTGCTTACAGCAGTGTCTAGTATTTCATAAATACCGTTGTTGTTAGGTGCTATTGAACCAATTTTGACTCCTAGTTACCTGATGTACAATGGAACAAAACACTTCACAGTTGGTCCTATCCTGAGTTTATTGTTGCAGCCATTGTGTTGATCCATCTCATTGAGGGTCTTCCTCTTTTCACTGTCCCTCTACTCTACCAAGCACAAGGTCCTTTTCCAGGGACTGGTCCTTCCTGATAACATGTCTAAAGTACAGGAGATGAAGTCTCACCTTCCTTGCTTCAAAGGATCATTCTAGCTGTTCTTCCAAGATAGATTTGTTCATTCTTCTGGCAGTCCATGGTATATACAATATTTTCACCAACACCGTAATTTAAATAATCAAATCTTCTCCAGTCTTCCTTATTCATTGTTCAGCTTCCACATGCATATGAAATGAATGTAAATATCATGACTTGGGTCAGGTGCAGCTTAATCCTTAAAGTGACATCTTGTATCTTTAACACTAAAGATCTTGTGCAGCAGATTTACCCAGAGTACTATGTCGTTGGAGTTCTTGACTGCTACTTTGTGGGTGTTGATTTGGGATCCAAGTAAAACCAAGTCCTTGACAACTTCAATCCTTTCTCCATCATGATGTTACATATTGGTCCAGTTGTGAGGATTTCTGTTTTCTTTATGATGAGGTTTAAACCATACTGAGAGCTATAGTCGTTGATCTTCATTAAGTGTATCAGATCTTCTTCACTTTCAGCAGGCAAGATTGTATCATCTGCATATCACAAATAGTTAAGTCTTTCTCTAATTCCAATGTGGAACCTGTACATAGATCAAGAAGCAGTTGCATGAGTAGATATATGCACACCAATGTTCATAGCAGCACTATTTACAATAGCAAAAAGATGGAGACAGCCTAAGTGCTCATCAATGGAAGAATGGATAAACAAACTGTGGTACATACACACAAGGGAATGTTATGCTACCTTGAAGAATAACAAGGAAGCTGAAAACCACCGCATAACATAGGGGAACCTTTAGGACATTATGCTGAGTGAAATTAGTCAGTTACAAAAGGACAAATATTGCATAAGACCATTATTGTAAAAGCTTAAGAAATGATACCCATACTAAAAGGGGGGAAATTTTTCTTTGTTGGTTACTGGTGGAGTTGGAGTAGGGGGTTTGGGGAAGGTGGAGGGAGGCGAGAGTAGAGTACAGGGTCAGGGACAGACACATCATAGTTCAGGTGTTGGGGAGGGCAATACACAAGAAGGGCACTGGGCAAGTTGTAGAA